ATGCTTTGAAGTTATTGAAAGGTGTTATCTCTTCCAAATGAAATAAAAGACTGGATTAGAAAGGTTAACAGGATCTTTAATCCCAGTTGCAACCTACATTTTCACCATCTCTGGAAACATCCACTAGAATTTCCTATACCCAACCATGGAGGACTGAGTTCCGCCCAACTGGTGGAATCAGAGTAACCCAATATACCCGCAGTTAGGATTGTGGGATGACTGACACACTTCACCGAGGCCCCTGGTGCATACTTTCTTCGTGCATCTGCACATACATGATGCACTGACCACAGGGCCAATGTTGAGGACTTGGCCTGATATGTGCACTGGGCCAGGTGGTGGATGTTCTATTTGACGCACCGATAGGGAGGATGGTGGGTCATTACCAATCAGGAGCTAGCCTGGAAAGATTGCTAGTTTTAGTATCAAACATCCTTTGGCCTTTGATGATAAACATGATAAGCACTAATCTAAAGCAAGTTTATAGGCCATAGGCTAAAGCCTTACCTTTTCCATTCATCTGTTCTTGATCAGCTATGCCCTTTAGTGGATGTTTGCCATTTCCGCATAAACTCCTCTATATGCTCCAAAACTGCACCTGAGGTGGATAAACAGAACAAAAGTACTATTAGTAATATCCCAATACAAATAAGTTTTCCATCCAAATAACAAATGAATTTCATTTTCCCAATGAACAATTACATGAACCACATGTTCAACCACATACCAGCAGCATGGGCAAGACCAGAGTGAGAGAAGGAGGAATTGGGTAACTGATGCTCTCCTGTCAAGAGCGTCACTGTGGCAGCCTTCACACTGGCTGAATTCTGCTGGACTTGAGCACTCAGGTAATGACAGCATTCCAGAATCTGATACCATTCCCTGAAAATAAAACATGGTTAAATGTTTTCAGAAATATGCCAAGAAAAAAATTATGTGAACTGAAACAAGTGAAACAAATAAAGTATAGGAATTAGAGATCAGAAAAAATGGATAAAAGGGTAGAAGTATTCACTATACACTATATGTCATTTAGCCTATGTTTATAAAAACACTGCACAGTCTGAAAAGACATTACATGTTTAAACTGATAGTACCAAGGATGGCATGTACATACATGCTATGCCCACTGTGAGTCTATTTACTGTCTATGCACAGACAGATCTAAAAATTCTTTGTCACTAATGAACCAATTACCTTGATTTTAAGGAATATTTTTTCATCTTTTCTTGCCATTAATTACATCTATAATAATAATAACAGCATTAATACTGATAGTATTAGTAAAAAAAAACAAAAAAACAAACTCAAGGACAGGTGAAATCAGGTGAAGTCACATTGTCGATTAATTGACTACTTGGTGGCTGGCTAAGCACTTCTGGAACCAACTGTGTGTAGAGACATTTTAACAAATAACACTATGGTGAATTCTCTACATTTTCCCAGCAGAATAGGGTCAAGTTACTTAATCTCTGAACCCAAAAACACAAAGAATTCAAAAGATCAACAAAGTCACTTACCAAGCTTCTTTGTCTTTGCGCTTTGGGTATTTAATGAGCGGAAGGTGAGTCCTTTCATGAGGCCTCTGTGAGCGGATAAATCGGGAACCGTGACGGAACTTGATCTCTAACCAGCGAATGGCATCTCGAGCGCCCAAGCTTTCGCGCTTTTGCTGATCCAGTAAATCAATAACTGTTCAGGAAAGAAAAAAAAATGCTCTTTGAAGAATTTTTTTTTTATCAAGTTCGGAATTCAATGGATAACCTTTAGACACACACACACACATAAAACACACAAAATATGCAAATGCACATGCACACACAAATGTATAAGCTCTATGCTCTTCCTTTTAATGTACCTGTTTGAGGTATGATGATCATATGGGTGGGTTTTGAGAGTAGCATCTTGATAGCAGGAAGATGGTTGATGAGCACACTTGCATCTGGAACAAGGTACAACCCGAGAGTAGCACGTCTTGCTGTCCGCTCTTCTAAGTTACGTACTTCGTGTTGAAGCCACTGCGCTGTGAGACTCTGCATTCCAGCAAGTCGCTTTGATTCTTTCTTGGCAGGGGGGACACTTAACATGTCGTCTTCTGATGGGGAGGCCGAAGATTCCCTGCTGGTTGTCTCCTTCAGAAGGTGAGAAAACGGTTGTCAGTGGAAGAAATGGGGGAAAAAAATTAGCAAACCACTGCTGATATATTTTTAAAAGCTTTAGAAGGCAAGATGACACACAAGCAAAAACAAATGTATAAAAAAACACCTGTCCAACTTCTTTGTTCTTGCTCTCTTCAACAATAACACCTTCCATTGAAAAAGTGTAGAGCCCCGTGTCTGTGTTGTGCCACAGAGGAGCATCCTGCCTCTTGTTCAGCTCCCTCCCGAAGACAGCAAGGCGACCAATTCTCAAAAGAACCTGGAGAAATTAAAGAACTTGATGAACTGTACAAAAAACATTTGAGAAATTTATCTCTATTAAACAATATACTCTAATATTGTTCTACGCACTTTTCTGATACAATACCAGTAGCAACTGGATAAAATCTATTTCATATTTCAACAAAATGACTGGTTAAAAAAGAACTGAGACTAGATATAGTAATCAATAGTTCAGATTATGTTATAATAAAGAAAAAGCAATTGGTATACTTACAAGTTCAGATGACTTCAAGTTGAGTGACTTGTGTGATGCAGAGAGATATGAAGATATAAGTGTATGAAGCATTAGGTCCTCAGGTAAAGGCGTCTTGCAAAGTGCCTCCAGCATAGGGCTTTGGGAATCCGTCGACCCCGAGACAGATTCTTGCACAAGTTTAATGACATCGTGCCGCACAATATTTGAATCTGAATAAACAAAATGGATTTTATGGCAAATGCTTGAATAGAATTCTTACAGTACAAAAACATCTCTTTGGTTCATAAGTCAAAATACCAGACATGTATGAAAACAGACATAACACAATTATGTAAAGTGATAGAACTTACTGCTTTTTAGCTGGTCAAAGTCAACCCTCAATAAATTCAACAACTTGGCAATGGCTGTCCATAAAGAATCTGCTGTCTTAATGCAAAGTTGTATGACTTCATCTTCCTTCTTCAGCCAATCACAAAGCACATATACAGCCGACAGCATGCCTTCCTGACCAATCAATTCTAAGTGCTCACTTGCACTAAGGCCTTCCCATTCTTGGTCAGACTCAATCTTTACATCCTGAAATTTTAGCCACAATCAATTTAAAGGAGATACACTGTATGGTGAGAAGCAATGAACAAATAATTCTGGCCCATGGCCTTCAGCACTGGCTAATGATGAAATTGCTGTCTATCATTTGTTTTGACAATTTCACTCTTATAGTCTATTTACTATTGCTGTTTCTAATTACTATTCGGGTATTTGATAAAAAAGCCACAATTCATTGGACAAAAGGCAGTATAAGAAATACCATTTCCATATAATTACTATTCTTACTTCGTCTGAATCATCATCTTCTGAGGAGCACAGCTGTGAGAGATCAAGTTCTTCTTCTTCCTCTTCCTCCTCTTCCTCACTTGACATTTCATCATCATCTGCTTCTCTATCATTATCTTCAGCATCACTTGCAGAATCATCTGAGCCAGTATCATCTGCAAAATAAAATCAATTCATATGACATCCAGAATATCACATAAATTCTTTGAAAAAGTCCCCAAACTAAGAAGTACAATGCCAGTTTTCTTTGTCTAAGTGCCAAACCAAGGCATCCAAGTACAACAGGTTAATTAGTTTTTCTTTCTTTATATCAATTCTACTCTTGTAATTGATATGATAAATATTCATCAGGTAAGACTTGATTTTACATGTATTTTTACATGTGGAGTATTTTTGTCTCAATCCAAAACTATTCCTAATCTCTCTAAAGACCTTTCTCACAATACTATTCCTATAAAAAATATCTATATAATGATAAATGCATCATGTTAAAATTTTATTTACTCCCGACTCCCAGTCAAGACTGCACAACTTGATGGTACCTGGTTAGGTTTGTGAAGCAAAAAAATACAAAGAAGCCAGATATGTTGAAAGCTCAAGCTATTCCTCATACTCTGAAATATCTCCCATAGACAGTGAATAATGGAGCAACCATCTTGTAACTCACATATGGCATTCCATAATTGCAGACATCCTGAAGGACATGGCATTGCAACAAATGAACAAATAAGACTCACCATCACTGAGAACTGGACTGTCATCATTCACCTTCCTTCTCCTCCTCAAATTTCTCAGCCTATTATTTCGTCCCTTTTTCTTTTTTTTCTTGGCAACTTCTCCTTCAACTTTATCAATGCTTTCAAAATTTTCCTTATTTCCCTTCTGTCCATCAGTTTCATTTTCCTTTATATCCGTCTCTGTCTTCTGGAAAATAAAAGATAAAGTACTTAATTATTCAAATATTGATAAATATCAATGAACAAATATCAATATCAGAGTAAAGTCAAAGATTAACCATTTTTTGGGTCTAAATAAAATGAAACAAGGTCTTAACTGTATCAATATGAACAAGGGTTTCCAATAAGAATAAACTCCTCACCTTTTCCGAGTCAGGCAAGAGTGTTGTCAAGAAAGACGGATCCACCAGCGAAATGCGCTGCTCTAAACGGCTTGTAACATGGGAGATGAGGGTCAGCAAAACAGACACCAGGAGAGCTTGAGCCATGCTTGTGTGAGACAACCCTGACCATAAAATTTAATGTAATAATAATATATACAGTAGAAAAGATTATTATATATATATATATTATATATATATATATATATATATATATATATATATATATATATATATATATATATAATATAGATAGATAGATAGATAGATAGATAAATATATAGACAGAGATAGCTAGATACATGTATATATATATAATATAAGTATTCAGATAATGACTTTTCATAAGAGGCTTGACAAAAAAAAATGTATAATTAAACATCCTTACCTTGCTTCTTCAGCCTTTGAGTAC